ATATATATATATTTTAAAAAAAAGCCCTGACCGGTTTGGCTCAGTGGATAGAGCATTGGCCTGCAGACTCAAAGGTCCCAGGTTTGATTCCAGTCAAGGGCATGTACCGTGGTTGCGGGCACATCCCCAGTAGGGGGTGTGCAGAAGGCAGCTGATCAATGTTTCTCTCTCATCGATGTTTCTAACTCTCTATCCCTCTCCCTTCTGCTCTGTAAAAATATCAATAAAATATATTTCTAAAAAAGAATATAAGTACACAAATATATCTTAGAGATCCTGTTTTTAATTCCTTTATATATACCCAGAAGTGAAATTGGTGGATATATGGTAGTTTAATTTTTTGAAAAAACATTATGCTGTTTTTCATAGTGGCTACACCACTTTACAATCCCATCAACAGTGCACAAGGGTTTGAATTTCTTTACATCCTTACCAACACTTGTTATTTTCTGTGTGTGTTTGTTTTTTTCATAGTAGCCATCCTAATGGGTATGAGATAATATCTATTGTGGCTTTGATTTGCATTTCTCTGATGATGTTGAGCATCTTTTCATATGCTTGTTGATCATTTGTATAAGTTCTTTAGAGAAATGTCTATTTAAGCCTTTGCCAATTTTTTAATTTGGTTCTTTGATTTTTTTGTTATTGAGTTGTAGGCATTCTTAAATAGTCTGAATATTAACCCCTTATCAGACATATAACTTGCAAATATTTTCTTCCATTTTTTTAAGGTACCTTTTACTCTGTTGATTATATCACTTGAACAAAATTTTTCAAATAGCAAATAACCAAGACCTATACATTGGTGTGCACTCACAGCATTCATTATACTTCCAATGGCTATGCCACAAAGGAAAGGATTGGCTGATAGCATTAACTTGTTATGGGCCATCTTTTAAAAACTTTAATGGTTACCTTTTTTGGGGCGGAAGGAGATGATAAATGTTTTAGAAATAAACTTTTAGTTTCTATTCTTCCTCATACTATAACTCGCATCCTTCCTTGCTTATACCTAAAATAGAATTGTTTTAAGTTTTGCTAACTTGGAATCTTCCATCTCTGTGGGATGAGGGAAGGAGATGGCCAAGGATCCAGCTGGCAGGGATCTCACTAGATGGCAGAGTGAGTCCCTGAATCACCCATCAAACTGCCATCTCTGCGCTGGAACTCAACAACTTGGAATAGTTTCACTGAACTGTATTATTAGCAAAAACTAACTGCTTTTGGATCAGTTTCACCTTATTTTTGGCTTTTCTTGTTTAGTTTACCTGTGCCTGAAGCAAGTTGTGCTCCACATTAAACTTTTATGCCCCCAACAGTAGAGCACAGATGCTATTTGGCGTTTAAATTTATGATTAACTACATGGTGGCTCCTCTCTAAATGGTGGAGAAGTAGCAAGTGCAAGTTTACACTGTGGTAGTTGGTTCACCTCCTAGGGAGCATACGAGCCTGGTGGGGTTTCCTGATCTCAGCTTTGTTTGTTCTCCAGGTGAGAAAAGTTTCCAAACTCTGCTTTTCTTTGTTTTCTTTTATTAAAGGAATAGTAACAATAACAAAAATACCTCAGAAAACTAAAGTTTCCTTTTATATAATTGTGGTGTTTTCTCAAAAGCTTTTGCCTTAAAAACAATAGAATGAAATCTCTTAGTCCAGTCACCTGAAGAGGACCTTTCCTTACGTATTTAGACGTCAGGATTCCTGTGACTGACTTGATTTGCATTATGTTTCTGGGGTTCAGGAATGCAGAGCCTCCAGAACTGGTTCAGAAATGGGTCCAGACACACTCAGTTTAGCTGAGTCATCACACAGATTCCTAGGGAGGGGGCTCCTTCTCCTGGAGCATTACTTCTGCTTGGAACAATTTATTTTTTTTTAAATGATCTTTCTAAATCCTCACCTGAGGATATTTTTCCATTGATTTTTAGAGAGAGGGGAAAAGAGAGGGAAAGACAGAGAGAAATATAGATGTGAGAGAAACACATAGATTGGTTGCCTCCTGCAGGCGTCCCAACCAGAGTCTGGGCCAGGGAGGAGTCTGCAACCAAAGTACATGCCCTAGACTGAAATTGAACTCAGGACCCTTCGGCCTGCAGGCCAATGCTCTATTCTTTGAGCCAAACTGGGTAGGGCTGAACAATTTATTTTTTGATTGACAACTGTGGGAAACATTTCTACTTTGGAACTTGGTTGTAAAATCCCAGGACTTGACTGGCCATCCATTCTCAACCCTGTTGTGAGCCTGGTACCTCACACCGCTACACAGTGGAGGCAGAAACACCATCGTAAACACAGTGCACAGTGTCCAATAAATCCAGAATGTGAAGGAGACCGAGGCCCCGCTGAAGTCCAGCGGTACCTTTGGTGACCTTAGCTTGGCATGGCGTTGAAGCAGAGGTGCCATACGGATCTTGGTCTTAGGAGCAGAGGTTGGCTTTTTCAATTGTGGTTCCATTTTCACAAACTGCTGAGAGTTTCTTTCTGTTCACGATAGTGTTACAAATTGATGTGACTTTTCGATTTTTTCCTCAGGTTATAAAATTGGTATTAAAAATTTATTGAGGCCTGATGTGAGAGACTTCTGGGAGAAATTAGGAAGCTTCGTGGCCCCTAAAGAAGAAGGGGGTCACGTGGACCTCTTTGTACCACTGGGAGCATCCGGTCAGTTTTGAAAGGTCGTGGTCATGCCTAGTTTATGATGATATTTGTTCAAATGATTCTGTCACACTTACTCTTTATTTCTTTTTTGCTTTATACATCATATACTTGGGGGCTTAGGGGAAATGGGCATTGGGGTTAGTAGTCAGAGTAACCTGTTCCTGTAGAAATAAAGCCACTAGTGACAAGAGCCAGCCAGGAACATTATTTCTATTTCTTCTGGAAAACACAGTAAAATCAGCCTGCACAACACAGAGGAAAGGGCCTGACCAGCACGGAAATCTGAGAAAGCTTTCCCTGCTGTTTCTGAACCTGGGATGCATAAGCCTGAACTTGGTGACAAGAACCTGGACTGGAACCCCATTCAGCCCACTTCAGCTGTGTGGCCTTAGGCAAGTTTGTGAACCTCCATTTCCTCCTATGAGTGTTAGGGTAGTAGCACCTTACCTTATAGGACTTGTGAATACCCAAATAACAAAACCTTCAATTACACAAATACATAATAATATAAATACCTAATATTAGAATACTAGAAACAGTGAAGTGCTTTGTGAAGGTGAGCATGGTTGCTGATATAAGTTTAAGTGCGTACTTATCTAGTATCAAAGTTGATTTCAGTACTTGAAGGGAAATTTTGAAACATTAAATTAAATTCACTTTTGGGTTATCTGTTAAATAAAAGCTCTGCATTCATGGGCACTGGGTTTGTTTGTTTGTTTGTTTACTAAGCAGAACAGGGGAGAGGGAGTGTGAAATTCCATTTTCTCATACTGTTTCTTATTACCCATTCTTTAAAGAATTGTGTGTTTTTAAAGTTCTTAATTTTCAAGTTTTACTGTCAAGCTCCAACCAGGGGAAAGGATAAAAACCAAAGGAGGTGAAGGGGTTTAAAAGAAAATGAAATACAAGTTATTGTACAAAATTTTTTTACAGTTATTACAATTATATAATCTCAACTATGCATAGAAAAATCTATGCGGAAATATAGCAAAATATTAACAGAATCTATACATTTTCTTTTATCTTATTTGCCTCTATTTTCTGTAATAAACTAGTATTACCTTCTTTTATAATGAGAACAAAGCCAATTTTCTCGGTGGAGTAGGAGGAGAAAAAAAGGATGCGGGAAAGTATAATATTGAAAGGCAGACAACAAAGGCAAAAGAGGAAAAGAACAATAGTTTTGTGACATAAAAACTGTCTCAAGTGAAATTTAATGGCACTCAAACACTAGATTTTCCACCACTATTCTGGGCCCTAAAGCCATCCCTAAACTTCTTGTCAAATGTAATTTCCACTTGGATGAACCCTTAAGACCAGTGGTTCTCAACCTTGGCTGCACATTAGAATCACCTGGGAATCTTTTATAAATCCTGATTTCTGGGCCTCATCTTCCGGAAATTCTGTTTCTTTGTTATGGGATGGGGCCACAACATTAGTAACAAAGAAACAGAATTTCCAGAGGATGAGGCCCAGAAATCAGGATTTAAAAAAGATCCCCAGGTGATTCTAATGTGCAGCCAAGGTTGAGAACCACTGCTTAAGATCCTGGTTCAGTCAGAAGACCCTGACTTCTCTTTGAGAACCATTGTTCTATGCTGACTGCCTCTACCTTCCTCACCTGTCATTCGCTCCTCAAGCTCCTACAAGTCATCTATCCCTGGCTTCTCAGCCCAAAAACCTCTTTCCCAGCACCTCAGGCATCACTCTTGAGCTTGTCATCCCTGGTAGCTGTGTCACCTGTGATATCTTGGATTTCAAGCATATGTCTCTCTGAGTCCCACTTCCAAATCATGTACCAAGTATTCCCATTCTTTATCGATTTTTTGCCTGAAGACCTCCAATCCATACTCCCACATTTTCAGTCTCCATCACTATGCTTACATGCTTGGTTTCTTCCTTATTAAACTTGGATTTAATGGTTTATTATTACAGTACTCTCTTGCAAAGACTCTGAACCTCTTTGTCTTTTTCCTGGCGAAATCCCCACCATTTGGCTAAATCCCAGCGCTGGTTAAAACACAGCCATCTGCAAAACCTATACCTGCCTGCACGGAGACAGCTGAAGACTGTTGGAAAAAGGAACACACCTGTTTGTATAGATCTAACTTTATTTAATGGCATAAATATCAAATGGGATTGCTGCACTGATAAGCAATCCTACCACATCTCCTGGTAAATTCATTCTTCTACTCCTTGAGATGACTATTTATTACATCCCTTCTCCTCCCTAGTCAAGCTTTCCAATAACGCTCTCTCAGCTGTTGACCTCACCTTCGACTTCCCTAAGAAAGCATCCTAATTTCCCTCCCAACACCAAATCCACCACCTACTTCCCTCTTACCTTCATTCTCTGTCTTCCCTTCTGTTGATGATGGAAGAAGCACCCCTGTTCATATCAAAGTTTGACTACTCCACTTAGACTCTGTATCCCACCGCCTTTCACCTTCTGACTTCACTTCCATGCTTCAATCTTCTTGTGTAGCCTCAATCCGCTGTCTTTATTGGATCATTCATATTAAATCAGGAACACCTGTAGTAGCTCTGTCCTTAAAAAAAAGGAAGGAGAGATCATAAACTTTTCCTCACCACATTTTGAATTGACTATACCAGTGGTTCTCAAACTTTAGTGTGTTTTTTAACCATTTAAAGGTCTTGTTAAAATACACATTGCTGGGCCCCACCCTAGTGTGTCTGATTCAGTAAGTCTAGGATGGGGCCTGAGAATTTTCATTTCTAACACATTCCCAGGTGCTGCTGAGGCTGCTGATCCAAGGGCCACACTTTGAGAACCATTGTTGTATGCTGACTGCCTCTACCTTCCTCACCTGTCATTCGCTCCTCAAGCTCCTACAAGTCGTCTATCTCTATTGAAATTGCTTTCGAAAGAAAATAAACAACTTCCACGTGCCCAAATCCAGTGGTCCCTTCTCTATCCTCTTTGCTTTGACTCCTCAACAGCACTTGATGCAGATGGACACTCCTGAAACTCTCCTTCTTCTCCTAATACCACGCTCTCCTTGTTGTCCCCCTGCCTCAGCCGCAGCTTCTTCTCATTCTCCTCTGTTGGCTTCTCCTCCTCAGCAAGACCTTTAAATGTGCCCAGGGCTAGATCTGGGCTCTCCTTTTCCATGACTACACCTGTTTCCTAGGCAGTCTCATCTGTTCCTAAGACTCTAAATTCAGTATATATGCTGGACACTCCCAAATTTATGCTTCCAGCTCTGATATCTCTGAGCTGCAGACTCATATCTAGCTCCCACTTGATATCTTCATAGTGTGCATTTTTGCTAGCTTCTAAAGTTAACACAAACTCCTGGTTGCCTCTTCAGCACCAGACCTCCTCCTCCCCAGGATTCCTCATTTAAGGTGTTGTCACTCTCCCAGTTACTTCATAAGCCAAACACCTAAAATTCATCTTTTGGGAGCATTGTTAAAATTTTAAAACAGCTTTATTAAGGTATAATTGACTTACAATATTTAAATGTACAATTAGATAAATTTTGACATGTGTGATATACCCTGTAAAACCATAAAGCAATAAAGATAATGAGCATACTTCCATCTACACAGGTTACTGAAGGAGTGAAATTAATGCCATGCTAAACTTTGACCATTGTATGCATTCTGTGTTTAACAGGTTTAAATCTGCCCCTTTACAATGAGACTTCTCCCTGGTGTCACGCTATTTTAGAAAATACATGCAGACTTTCTGTCTGTGGCCTGAGTATTCCAGATTGAAAATAAGCCCCAGGTCAGACCTCATGCCCTCTTTTCCACCCTGTTGTGAAGTCCTCGTAAATGAAGTGTTTGGACTTCAGCTCTCAGGGGTGAACTGTAACATGCTGATAAACTATTCCACGAGGGATCTGAATTGAGAACAAGAACTGCTATGGCTTTTCCTGGCCAGCTCATTAGTGCTCTTCAGTAACACTTAACTGTTCCCTGGCAAAACCTGTGAGTAAACTAATGAAAGTGTTTTTGTGCAGAGGCAGGAATAGAAGTTCTTTCCCAGCTGTCTCAACTAACCGGCACGCTCTTTACTGCCCCCGCTGGGATTGCAACTGGCTCTTACCAACACAGTAAGTGTATATGGGGCTGGCCATCGTGCCCACGCACTAACTCGGGGATCACCAAAGATGAAGCGCCGCTGAAGGATACTGGTTCTCGCTGACGCCAACAACTGTCTTGAATTCCTTCTCTGAAACTGTCATTTCCCAGCACTCAGTCATTTGCTTAGAAGGGGATTATTTTTTGCAAATATTTGCTTCAAGCCATCATTTGTAAAACTCAGTTGAAAACATCATCTTTAACAGTTAAACAAACATGTTTAGTTGCTGATCTAGAGACATAATAAGTACAAAGAATAGTTGTTTTTTTAAAAATATATTTTATTGATTTTTTACAGAGAGGAAAGGAGAGGGATAGAGAGTCAGAAACATCGATGAGTGAGAAACATCGATCAGCTGCCTCCTGCACGCCCCCCACTGGGGATGTGCCCGCAGCCAACGCACATGCCCCCGACCAGAATCGAACCCGGGACCCCTGAGTCTGCAGGCCAAAGCTCTATCCACTGTGCCAAATCGGCTAGGGCACAAAGAATAGTTTTTTAGTAAATATAATTAATATGGTTTCATTTGGAAAAATGAACAAAGAGATGATTAAGAAGAGGCTTGCTCAGGTTCCATTGGTGTAACATTATCTGAGAGGAAAAACAGTCAATGATATTATACACACAAAAATGTGTGTGTAATATCCCTTTAGATATGAAAGCTGAAGATATTGGATCAAAACATAACATTGGCTGACCAACAGGAGAACCAAATTTCTTTGTTTGCTCATCATTCTCCCCTTTAAAACTCCCAGCCTCTTATCAAAGAAGGTTTGGGGTGATGCAGAAACTATATATAAGGCATTTGTTCTCTGGTCTCAAATGCCAGGGGCCTTTGAAGACGGGAAAGCTGCCATGATTGGGGAACTTGTACGGAAAATGATGTAACAGAGAGCACATTTACTTAATAGAGTTTTATAACAGAAGTCACTTGTTAGCTGTAGTTTACATTATGATAACATATTTGGCCCCGTGGAGAGAGGAATCCCCCTAGCAGAGCAGAGCAGGGTGCAGGCACTGTCATTTACAGAACAAGTTTTCTTCTTTTCTGCTCCTCTGCCTCCTTTTCCTCCTGTTCATCCTCTTTCCCCTACTCTTCCTATTCCCATCTAGAAGAACTGTTATATAGATTTTTCACATGTTTAGCAATAAACATAATGGGAGGAGAGTCAAACAAGTCTATTCAGGAAAGAAAATCAAATTTAACACGACACTGTGTCTTTCAGTAACTGGTTTTCAAGGAGAGAAACTTGCATAAGCACCCACTAGAGTCGTGTAGAGATATATAGAGAGATAGCAGCTTGTAAGGAAGATACAGGGTTGGCTATGACACGGAGGACTTTGGATGGCATGATGGGGAAGCCAGGCAGAGTGGATTTCCCTGTATTTTCATTTTGAGGATATAAATATAAAAGAGTATATTCTATCAGATGCCTACTTCACTTCTCGATGCACAAATCCAGCAGCTATTTAATTTTTAATGTCAAACATAATGACAACCTTATCTATCAAAGAATAGATAGGCATTTGCTATTATTCATTGTAGTCTTTTTGAGTTTCTAATTTTATCTCTGAAAGCAGACTATCTTAGTTTTCTAATGAGAAAGGATAATAAGCTTGATATAAATACAGTTATAAACAAGAAGTAGAATTGTTTCACCCAAGCTTATGTCTGCAATAATAAAAGGAGACAATAATGTCAGTTCTTAGTGACTGGCTGGGACAACAGCAGGAAAGGGCGCCCCCCTCCATCTACTTCAGCGAATCAAAGCTGCAGATGTGGTCCAGCCTCATGGACTTCCTGGAAGACACCTTGATATCAGTGCGGAAACAGTTCAGACCTCTCTTCAAGGAGTTGCAGAAGAACGCCAGTGGCAGGATAATAGGTGAGAGCTCTTGCTACTCCTGTTGCAGATGTCTAGTTGACTCCTAAACATCTTCAGTACTACTTTATTCTGTTTGTTTTTCATATCTTCCTTCAAATATAACAAATATACACTAAGAATAAACATTAAATATTATTTACTAAGTATTAAATAGTATTAAATAAACATTAAGTATTATTTAACAAACATTCTCTAATAAACATTAATAAACATTAAACCTTACTTAATAAATATTAAATATAAAGATGAATAGTTACAGTCATCTTCAAAACGCTGAAGCTAGTTCCTGGTTTCAGATTTTACCATCTTATTAATCCTGTATCAGTCAATTATTTACCTAGACAAAATTTGCTATTTGCTCAGCCATCGAACTCTGTCCTTTCCTCATTGCAATTTGCTCTCAAAGCTAAGCAACTCTTAAACCATAGCACCCATTACTTAAATTGTTCTGCAATTGTGTTCTATTTATTTTTTACTTAAAATGTATAACTGGGTGATTCCATGGCCTTCTGTGGAACCTGCTGGGCATTATTGAACCTCTCATTTATGCATGTCCATGATCAAATGATCACAATAGAGGCTTTGGAAACAATGTCCATGTCACTGGATCTTCACCTAAATCAGAGGTTCTCAACCTGTGGGTCGCGACCCCTTTGGCGGTCGAATGACCCTTTCACAGGGGTCACCTAAGACCATCCTGCATATCAGATATTTACATTACGATTCATAACAGTAGCAACATTATAGTTATGAAGTAGCAACGAAAATAATTTTATGGTTGGGTCACAACATGAGGAACTGTATTTAAAGGCCAGAAGGTTGAGAACCACGGACCTAAATCAATCCATTCTTTAAATAACTTTAAAAAAATATATATTTTCTTATTGATTTCAGAGAGGAAGGGAGAGGGAGAGAGAGAAACATCAATGATGAGAATCATGTATCAGCTGCTTCCTGCACGCCCCCTAACTAGGGGATCGAGCCCACAACCTGGGCATGTGCCCTGACCGGGAATTGAACCGTGATCTCCTGGTTCATAGGTCGATGCTCAACCACTCAGAAACACCGGCCGGGCAAAATCAGTCCATTGTCTAAAGTACTTTTTTATCATATGGGTAAATGAATTTTCCCTCCATCTTTACCTGTTTAGCTTTCCCCTAACTCTTCCCATCTAACTAAATAAAACACCCTATAAATCAAGTCTTTAGATATCTATATCCTTATTTTTTTCCTTCCCTTCCCTAGCACTCATTCTTATTTAACATCTATTTATACAGTCACTGTCTATGCAAGAGCAGGAAACACAAGTAAGTATACAGATATTTTCTGTCAGTATATAACATATTGTCAGTGTATATCTTTACATAAATGCCTCTAAAACAGGGATTTGTCTTCTTGGTTTTAACTCTACCACATTTAGTAGATGTTCAACCAGTATTTTCAAATAGTTATTAGATAATAAATAGGGAGAAATTATTTTTCCTGGTATTTCCTTGATATAAAAACTATACATAAAAGTAGAAAGATGATCTCTTTAAAGATAGAAGTATTT